AATTCAGAAGAATGATTTTTCCCCCATCGGCCGGGCTGGGGACAACTTAATCACTGCTAGAAAATCTTTGGCCTGCAAACATCTTCCAGAGTTTAGTTTCAAACTATGTCTCTAATTTCACGGCAATGAACATTTTGGACCAAAATACATTTAACCTCCAGGGACTTGCTTATTTTCTCTACCCTCACCCTTCACGTCTGGGAGAATGAAATTCCCAGACCAAAAACGCTTAAAAAGGAATATTAAGACCCAAGGCTGAAGACCATCTGCTTATGATCAACCCACAGGGGCAAGAGCCATGTCCCCTCCCTCTTAATTGATAGTAAGAAAGAATTTGGGGGGGGGGGAAGGTTGGGATATTCTTGACCAAATTTGCAATGAGCAAGAAACTAAAAGAAGACTGCCCTCACTCAGAACTAGCTTTCAATCAAGTTCATTTGGAGAAAGGGTAACAACATAACCCAGCCCCCAGAAAAGATGCATATGTACCAGTCTTGAGAGCCGGGGATCAAAATTCATTTCTCTGATCAATTTTGGATCCAAATACAAATTCCTCAGCATCATTGCGGGCTTAAACATTTTTTGATCTGAGTGGGGGGTTGCCCCACCCCCCCCCCCAGTCGGCAACCTTTTCGGTTTTACTGCCTATCCTCTGGAACTAAAGGACCCAAAATGAACCTTGGAATTCACTGATCTGGGATATACCGATTGCATAAAATCCAAGATGAGCCCGTGATTTTTTTCCCCGACAAGATCAAAACAACCCCAAGAGGAGATGCAGACTTTAACAAAAGTGGCATTTTCTCCACCCCTCGCATAGCTCCTGCTGCAATGTTAAGAAAGCCAGTTCAGAGCGAGAATAAGCAGCAGCTGATAGAAAACATCTCGGGGGGGGAGGGCTTTCTACGGAGATCTCGAGTTCAAGTTCAACTTTGGCTTGGGTTCAGGTCCGTAGGTGTCCTACGGCTCGAGAGGTTCACATCTGAATTCAGGAGGCCCTTGGCAAACGACCCAGGAAGCTTCAATGTGGAAAAAGGATAATATCCTGGAGGCACTCCCATTGTCCAAACTAATAGAGAAACTTTTCCAACATGATCAGTCACCACAAAACCAAACCCCCCACCCGTTCAGAAGGTTCGTTCATCTTTTCGCACACATCCCAACTGATCATCCAATCTTTTTCTAGTATTTGGCAGTTCGGGAACTCTTGAAGGAGCGAGACACGATCTTCTTCAGTTCCTTGAACGAACGGCTGCGCCGAAGCTTAAAATTAGGGGCGGGCAAATCTGCCAGATCCAAAGTGGCCGAGCCATGCAGCCATCGGTCTCCAAGCTGATGGAAAACCCAGTCCCCGTTCAGGCTGACCGCGCTGGTCGCTTCCACCTCACTGAGGCTGGACCCGCTGCCAGCAAGCCCAGCCCGCTGCCGAGGCGGCAGGTCAAAGTGGCTGTCCTCCAGGAAGCAGAACGACGCCGGCATGTCAGAGGAAAAGGCGAGGTTGCGGTTTAACGCCACCGGCGGAAGGAACGTTCCCGCTTTCCCGCGATGCCGTCCAGCGGTTTTGCTGGAAATTTCCAGAACCGATGTCCATTTCGGCTTGACGGCCTTGCCCCGGCTGGCTTGAGGGTGGCTGGGACCTACCAGTCCCGCGGCGGCGTGGACGTTCATTTCTGAGCTGGCCCGGGCCCTGCCTCCCGCGCGGGCTGAAGGTTTGCGGCGGAGGCTCAACCTGCGCAGCAACTCGCGGGGACTCAACCAGCTTCTCTCGGCTGCCTTCTCTTCTCTCTCGGCGGTCTTCACCAACTCCCGCGAAGCGTGTTTGCCTTTGTACAGCTTGTCGACGCCAGGAGTGGCCCGAGACAATGAGGCCTCCTTTTTGAAGGACGTCTCTGTCTTGATTATCTGCTGCTGGGCCCCAGCTGTCCAGCCTAAAGCCCTTCTCTCCGGCGCGGCGGATGGCTTGTTCAGGTCGAGGTTGACCGAAGGGTCTTGGGGCGCCGGGAGGGAAATCACAGACGACTCACTAGCTTTGGCGAGGTTGGTGGTACTTGATTGAAAGGAGCCGATCTCTGGAAACGGGGGGAAATCCCACAGCCCGTCCAGGACCCGGGAATCTCGTGCCCCCTCTGGGCCTTCGGGAGAACGCAAGTGAGAACAGGTGGAGATCCGCCGTCGGATCTTCCATCCTGGAACTGGAGCGAGGACCTGACCAGCCGCCAGCCCGGAGCTACAGACGGACGTCATGGATAAGCTCTTCTGGTTCCCCATGAGGTATCCAGAGTCTGTTCTGTTGGCTGCCGTGCGGCATTTGTAACGCAGCACCAACTTAGCCATGTACTGGTCTAAGCGGACCCTCGGGGGCTCCCTGGAGCAGACGGGTTCCCTCTTGGGCGAGTCGGATCTGGGAACCTTTGGGGGCCCTTCGTCAAGATCTTCCTGAGACGAGCTTTGAGAGAGGCCATTGGTGAAGAGAGGGCTCTGCAAGGCTACGGCGTGGAGGGGACTGGGGTAGTGGTAGACTTCATTGGTGTTTCGGGAGACCAGGTCAGACTTGTACCGTAGCAGCTGGAAATTCGGGGGCCTCGGGAGGGGGAAGGACAAGTCCCCCAGGCCCAAGAGGAACTCAAGGTCACCTGTCCCAAGAGAAATGTTGGAAACGAGCTTGTGAGGCACGAGAACCTACAATTATGCGCCTAGGACCTAATACTGCTTCTGGGGGTCTATCCAATCCTTGACCCCTCCTGATTTAATTTCCGAAGATATTTTTTAATAAAACAGAAATGGGAAATTAGCATCATTTCAGGGCCAGTTCAAGGGACCTTTCCATTTCCCCCAGCTTCTTAATGAGCTTATAACTGATGTTTGATTCCTACTTTTTTGATTTTGAATGACCAAATGACTGCCTAGTTTAGGTGATACTTTCATTCTGCATTTTATTTGACTTTATTGGATACAGGTAGTCCTTGTTGAGTGACCATAATGGGGACCATTATGGTCACTCAACAAGGACTACCTCATTAAGTGAGGCGGTCGCTCGGTGAAACTGCAACAGTGCTATGATCTGACGTCAGCTTTCCTTTGCTTTACAGACCTGAGAAGGTCATCAATGCGAGGACTGGTTGGAAAGTTACTTGTTCATCGCTGTCATAACTGCGAGCGGTCACTGTACAAGGCAGTCGCTAAACGAGGATCACCTGTATATCTTTTATTCAAACTGTGTCTTTTAACAGGCGTTATTGTAAACCGCCCAGAGAGCTTCAGCTATTGGGCAGTTAAAATATTTTAATAATGAAATAAGGAAGAATGGCACCGCAAAGGAAAAGCACAGTGAAATGCTGCTCCCTGCCTGACCGAGACTGATTTCTCAGGTTGACTGCACTGAGATAGCGTGCCAGTTCGACTCATCCGCACGGTGGAGCCCAACCTGGCTTGCTGGGAGAAGAATGACCCCCACGTCATGGAAGGACCCCACCTTTACCCACCTGCAGCGGACCAGGTTCAAATTGCCCCCTCTGCCAGATAGCTCCTTGGCTGGCACACATGATGTAACCATAGCTTATTACACAAACCCTTCTGGCTGGATTTACACGACACGCTTAGCCCAACTCTGAACAAGCCGTTGCGTCGGCCAAAATTCCGCTGTCGTTCTCAGCTTCGACTACCTTGCAGGGCTGTTGTGAGGATTCCAAAAACCAGCCCCTCGAGGTCCACAGAGAGAAGCCAAATTCAGCACCTCCTCTGGGCCACGGACATTTCAAGGATGCTGGGGGCAGCAATGAGGACTAGAAACTTTGGTTCACATCGAGGAGAGGCTCGGAATGGTAAACACAGGGCTGGGTAGATTTATTTATTTGTTTGTTTGTTTGTTGAATTTTTCAACCGCCCTTCTCTCCCCAATGGGGGAACTCTGGGCGATTCACAACAAACAT